GCCTACCCCAGGACTCCTGGACCCCCGCCGGGGCCCCCGGGGCTGGGGCTCGACAACCCTGGTAGCCTGGTGTCACTACGCTGTTAGGGTTTGCATGGTAATTGCATATTGTCAATGCAAGGCGATGATGGTCAATGAAAACTTGATCTTATTTGAAAAGAGACATCGAAGGTATAATTTTTGGCAGTTGCCCGTTTGCCTTTGTCTGAGGAAAGATAAGGGTGAGCTTGTTGGTGGCAGTCGCTATTGCCTTTGCTGTCTACTTTGTTGATAAAACTTGCCGGATGCAGCTGAGCCTTGCATGTTTTTTGTTTATTTTTTTCTGGCCTAATTTTATGAAAATAGCAGAAAGGGAATGCTCACATTAGGACCTTCTTTACTTGAATCTGGCCGGATTTCCGTTTAGACACATCCGGGAAAGTGCTAGTGTCACTACAACATATTGTCAAGGCATGGCGATGATGGTAAATGAAACTTGATCTTATTTGAAAAGAGACATCGGAGGTGCTATTTCTGGCAGCTGCCCGTTTGCCTTGTTTTGAGGACGATGGCAGACACATCCGGGAAAGAACTAGTGTCGCTACAGCTTTAAGTCTTATAATACGTATTGTCAAGGCATGGCGATGATGGTAAATGAAACTTGATCTTATTTGAAAAGAGACATAGGAGGTGCTATTTCTGGCAGTTGCCCGTTTGCCTTCATCTGAGGAGGATGGTGGTGAGGTTGTTGGTGGCAGTCACTTGTGCCTTTTCTGTCTGCTTTGATAAAACTTGCCGGATGTTACTGAGCCTTGCGCGTTTTTGTTCCATAAGGCTTCCTTGGGTAAAATGCATATTTCTCAAGGTAAGGCGATAATGGTGAATGTATCTTATTTGAAAAGACACAAGTATAGTTTATTTGTTTGAAAAGACACAAGTATAGTTTATTTGTGTTCGAGTGTGTCTGGAGCATCAAAATGGTGTGATGGAATGATAACTAGTTTCAATGCTAATCAATTGCAATCTATGAATCACAATTTCCAAAGGTATTGCCATGGTTCTTTGTTGTATAATCAAGAACTAACGGTTCCATCGTTATGAGCCAGTTTTTCTTTGTTTGTATAAGTGCTCACGTGCCTATGGGCAAAAGGCATGAGGCGTCGGCGATTTGGGTAATTAACGATAAAGGGTCCCAAGGGTAGCGTTACCGAATTGCGCGTGGAAAAGCACTAGGTTAAACCGAGCAACAGGAGGCTCGCACCTCCGAGGCCGGCTCGGGCCAGCAATTCGGCGGAGATGTCCGAATGGCTGCACTTTGTGCCTGGAGCCTCGCAAGAGTCAGTCAAGTACCAAATACAAGGGTTCAAATCCCTTTTCCCGCTCGTCAGCATTGCCTAACGGGCCTTCGGCCTCACTAAGGCACGAAGAATACACTACAGGGGCATTTTACCACCGACAAGGGCGCCGAAGCAATGTGCAATCATGGGATCGGCCTCCCTGGATAATGATAATGAGAAGGTCGACAGAGCCGTCGTAGTAGGGAACTACCTTCTTCCCCCGAACACAACGCACCCTTATTTTAGCTGTATCTGGCCAGAAACATACCTTGTGTACATTCATTTTTAGGTTGCGCTATGTTCGGGGGAAGACGGTAGTGAAGGTGCTAGAGCTTTAAGACTTAGAGGGTATAATACATATTGTCAAGGCATGGAGATGATCGTATTTCAAAAGAGACAGAAGGTGCAACAGCTTTTTAAGACTTAAAGAGTGTGTAATACACATACTCAAGGCATGGCGATGATGGTAAATGAAACTTGATCTTATTTGAAAAGAGACATCGGAGGTGCTATTTGTGGCAGTTGCCCGTTTGCCTTCATCTGAGGATGATGGTGGTGAGCTTGTTGGTGGCAGTCACTTGTGCCTTTTCTGTCTACTTTGATAATACTTGCCGGATGTTGCTGAGCCTTGCCTGTTTTTGTTCCATAAGGCTTCCTTGGGTAAAATGCATATTTGTCAAGGTAAGGCGATAATGGTCAATGAAACTTGATCTTATTTGAAAAGAGACAGGGAAGGTGCTTTTTTTTTTGGCAGTTGCCCGTGTGGCGTCGTCTGAGGACGATGGAGTTGAGCTTGTTGGTGTCAGTGACTACGGTCTCAACCCGAAAACAAGGTATGTACCTTGTATACGAATACAAGGTAGGTACCTTGTAGAACGAATTTTAGGGTGCAACTTTCCTAAGGGCATACTCACACTAGCACGTACTTCCACAAATTTTACGTTTGTGAATTTGCGTTTATATGGCACCTGCGGGTCACACTGGTTACCCGTTTGTTGCCCAAAGCAGAAAAAGACAGGGTGGCGACCTGGCCTTTAGATGCGAAAATACGTTGTCTGCAGTCAGACAGCACAATGCACTTTTTTTTTTTTTTTTTTTTCTTCCAGAAAGCAGTAGAGGAAAAAGAAATACGATTTTGCGGGGACCTCTAAATATGTAAGCCCGCGGCTGTCCAGGCCGCTGACATTTACGAGCCCTTTTGTGTGAACACGCAAAATACGTGCCTGTTGTGACCCGAAAAACTACATAAAATTTGCGAGTTTGCAAAAATACATGGTAGTGTGAGTGTGCCCTAAGGCAAGGGAAAAAAAAAAGTATATAGTAAATAATAAATATTAGTAATACTCCTTTGACCAGGTAAGTTGGGATCAAGGTGAAGCGATTTGGACAAACGAAAATTGAATTGGACAATCATCAAACCGAATTGGTCAGTTCGATTTTCCTATTTAGTACATTATCGGAACCGATAGGTTCGGAGAAGTATTGAGCATTTTGGACATATCAGATTTAGGTTGGGAGAAACGATGAGCATTTTGGACATACTTACTGGATATAGGTTGGGATAAATGATTACCATTTTGGACAAATTGATTTAACAGTTTGGACGCATGACGGAGTTAGGCAGATTGATT